TATATATAAAGAGGTTGTTGGAAAAATACATTAATAGAAAGTTTGACCTAATAAATAAAACAATTGACTTACTATAAATGGAAAGTTCGAAAAAATACATGTGAATCTTTAGTAACAAAATCTTAATCCTATTTTTTTGGTAACTAATTTGGAGATTCTTATGCCAAAATTTGAATCCCATTTTTTTCGCATCATATATATATATATATATTTTTTTTTTTACCAAAATTTAAATCATATATTTTGGTAATAAATTTGGAGATTCTTATGCAAAAAATGTGTCAATTATTTATGAAAACAATTTTAAATACAAATTAACTTAAAAACCGTACAAATTGGATACGAATTTAGGAAACAAATAGTTGTATAATTCTTAATCAATTCTTCCAATCTTATTGAATAATTTTTTCTTTAAAAAAAAGTGTGTAAATTGGATAAAACCACGTGCAATTTTTATTTTAGAATAAAACTGATATTTGGACGGGATGTACATTCAAAATTGTGTCCACATTTTTGGTAACAAAAGCGATTCATCTTTGATACTTAAAGTCACCTTATCCAATTATTTAGGAAAAATTGTGTGCAACTTTTCAAAATTTAAATGCATCGATTTTTTTGGATTCTTATGTTTTTTCTTAACCATGTTTTACCGAGATTTTGGTAAGTTCATATCATTTTTTTTTTGTTAAGTTCATATCATTTTCTTTAGGAAAGAGACAGTTGCATAAACATTAACAAATTGTTCCATGTTTTTATTAAAATTATTTTCAATTCAATTTGTTTGGTAAAAAAATCGGTGCAGTGTTAGGAAAATTCGGTTGCATTTTTAGGAAAAATTAATGATTTTTTATTTGGTTTAAAAATATATTCGGATCAATTTGTTTGATAAAAAATCAGTTTATTGGTAGGAAAATCGGCTTCATTTTCAGGAGTAAATAACGATTCTTTTTAATATATATAAAAAGGTTGTTCGAAAAATACTTAAATAGAATGCTTGACTTATTAATTAATTTGTTTGACTTACTAATTTAGGAAAATTTGTTAAAAAACACGTGCAATTTGAGTAAAAAAAAATGAGATTTTAAAAGCAATATTCGAATCAATTTCTTAATAAAAAAACCGGGAGGATGATGTTGAATTCTGGATGAGGATAATGTCAATTGATTCTTTCCAAATTGAAAGGTCACATGTGAAATATACACCAAAGGTATCTAATTTATTAGTTACTTAGGGAGCATGATTGTAGGAGATCAAAATATATCAATGTAAATGTAATATCAAGCCATATAAAACAAGTTTCGTTATAAGTTATTTAAACATTCTTGGTAAGTTTAAAATTATTATATATAATAAATTCTTTTTTTTTTATATTAATAGATACTACCTTTTTTTTTTAATGCCATTTTGACTTTATTAACAATTAACCAAATAAATGACGTTTTGGATCTTTTGTACATATTTTTTCATTATTACCCCAATTTAACTAATAAATACACTACATCTTTTCATATTCATTCTTCATCTTTTCTCAAAACATCCATCTCTATCCTTATTAATGAGGTTTATTATTTAAAAAAAAAATCTTAATTACTGTGCAACTTTTCAAAACAATATTTATTAAAAAAAGGAGGGAGTACTATATATGTACTTATATATTGTATCTACATATATATTGAAAGAGGTTGATTAAAAAATCATTTATAGAAACTTGATAAAAAATTTGAGTCAAAACCTTTGACTTAGTTCTTTTGGAAATTCAATCTAATACTATAAAATAATAATAGGGATTTACTTAAGTTGAAAAAAAGTTCTCGCCTAAAATTTTAGATTTTACTACAATTGACAACTTTTTTTTAAATTCTTTGAAAAAATGGGAGTTGATTTGTAATTTGAATTATAGCGCCGACGTTGGATGTAGCCGAGTCTATCAATGAGTACATGACATCATTGAATTTGTTGGATGGTCGTACTTGAGTTCTGACAGTACATGCAAATCGGATTCTAATAATGATTTTTTGTCTGAACTCCATACGCCTGAGTTTTTTAATAGCATCAAGTGTTCCGGAATACCGAACCATGAGTTGTATTTGAAAATTGGAACTCCGGTCATGTTGTTGCGGAACATGGATCATTTTATGGGTTTGTGTAATGGGACATGATTGGTTGTGACAAAGCTATCCAGTCATGTTCTTGAGTGTAAGATACTCACAGGAGATCATGCTGGTGATAAGGTGTTGATTCCAAGAATGGCCATAACTCCTTATGATGTTAGAATTCTTTTCAAGTTCCAACAGAGGCAATTTCCCATTATGGTTACTTGCGCCATGACTATAAATAAGAGACAGGGACAATCTTTATCTCATGTTTGCTTATTTCTTAAGAAACCAGTGTTCAGTCATGATCAGTTATATGTTGTTGTCTCACATGTCACTTACCGAAAATGTTTGAAAATCTTAATTTGTGGTGAAGATGACATGCCAAAGAATCAAACCAATAATGTTGTATATAGGGAAGTGTTCAATAATATATGATCTTTTCAGTTTAATTATATGTTTATATGTCTATTCTTATGATCATGAGCATTGCATTATTATACAATTTATATACAAAAGTGCATTCTAAAAAGCGTATAGATAATAATTTCTCCGTGCATCGCACGGGTGATTACTAGTATATATAAAGAGGTTGTTGGAAAAATACATTAATAGAAAGTTTGACCAAATAAATATAACATTTGACTTACTATTAATAAAAAATTCAAAAAAACACATGTGAATCTTTAGTAACAAAATCTAATTCCTATTTTTTTGGTGACAAAATTGGATATTCTTATGGCAAAATTTGAATCTCATATTTTTTGTATCATATTTTATTTTTTTACTAAAATTTAAATCATATCTTTTTTGGTAACAAATTTGGAGATTCTTATGCAAAAAATGTGTCAATTATTTTTTAAAACAATTCTGAATAAAAATTAATATAAAAACCATGGAAATTGGATACAAATTAAGGAAGCAAATAGTTGTATAATTCTTAACCAATTCTTCCAATCTTATGAATAATTTTTTCTTTCAAAAAAAATTGTGTAAATTGGATAAAGCCACATGCAATTTTTATTTTAAAATAAAACTGATATTTGGACGGGATGTAGATTCAAAATTGTGTCCACGTTTTTTGGTAACAAAAGCGGCTCATCATTGATATTTAAAGTCACCTTATCCAATTATTTAGGAAAAATTATGTGCAATTTTTCAAAATTTAAATGCATCGATTTTTTTGGATTCTTATGTTTTTTCTTAACCATGTTTTACCGAGATTTTGGTAAGTTCATATCCTTTTTTTTGGTTGAGTTTATCATTTTCTGTAGGAAAGAGACATGCATAAACATTAACAATTTATTTAATTTTTTATTAGAATTATTTTCAATTCAATTTGTTTGGTACAAAAATTGGTGCAATGTTAAGAAAATTTGGTTGCATTTTTAGAAAAAATTGATGATTTTTTTTTATTTGGTTTAAAAAAAATTCGGATCAATTTGTTTGATAAAAAAATCGGTTTATTGGTAAGAAAATCGGTTTCATTTTCGGGACTAACTAATGATTCTTTTCAATTTTTCTTAATTGAAATTTAGAATTAGATTTAAAATAAATAATGGATGAAAATCACTAAAAAATTTTACTTTTTTTTTCTACTTTAATTTTGTTTAATAAATAAGATCCTTTAATTTTTTTAAAATTTGTGAATTAATAACTAATAAGATGCAATTTTGGATAAATTCAAACACCTATGTAGTACTTTACGTGCCAAAGAATCAAATCAATAATGTTGTACATAAAGAAGTGTTTAATAACATATAAATTATGTTTAATGGCATGGGACAATTAAATACAAAAATATCTTTTAAAAAATATATATATAATAAATGCTCCTATTAAATACAAAAATATCTTTTAAGAAATATATATATAATAAATTGTTTATTATATATCAGACACACCAATCAGACTTTTGCAGTTGATTGATAAAAGAAACTGTGATCGTCTATGATTGTTCATGCGTGTGGGATTTATACGAGAGAGAGAAAGAGAGGTAGAGGTTCTCCGAACTCTTTAAAAAATTGGATTTCTTTGAGAGATAGCTGAACACTTCCCCACCTTTGGATTCATCCTTTAATTCTCCTGATCATTGTTTGCAATCCCATTTATTCTTTTAGAATTTTCCGGTGTTTGGTGATATCTCCGTTTTTTTCTTGAAATCATCGATAAATTCTAGGGTTTTCGGGTGGTTTCGCGTTTCATTTTTGTGCAAAACTTTGTAAAAAGCCGCAGTCTTGGTGGGTTAATGGTGGAAGGGGACAGAATGATGTTTGCCCATTTATCGTCTTCAGACATCGTCTGATTTCTCTTTTTAAAGAAAAATTATATTCAATCTGCCGCCGTTTGATCGTTGAGGAAGCCCTTCGTTGATCAATCTGAGGTGTCTATTGTTATACTTCCTGTCTTGTGTCTGTGTAGTGGTTGATCAAGTTGTCCGTCAAATTAATGGCATGTTCTTGAACTTGTTATGGCTTAACGGTTTTCTGCTGGTTATTCCTTGATCGAAATCTTTCTAAAGTGTAATATGAATTGAGCATTTGTCAATTAATTTCAATGCTACTTTCGTGAATTCATATCCACAAGCTTTTGACTTTCTTCCCCTCTTTCACTTTCCTTTGTTTTTTCCCTTTTTCCCCTTGAGTCGGGTTGCTGGATGCTGTTCTGTGTTCCTTTTTGGTGTTAAGATTGGATTCATTGAATATTTAACACTAAACTAAACTACTCCGTTTGTCTCCGGTTCTTTTGGAGCTCAATTCTCTGTCTCTGCCTCTCTTATTGTGTATGGTCTCTATAGAAACGGATAAGAAAAGGAAAAGAAAACAATAAGGGATAAGAAAAGGAAGAAACAGAGTGAGAGAGAGTAACAAAGCATGGCTCTTTCTTTCACTAGACTTTCATGGTTGTGGATGGGAGGGAAGGAAAAGGAGCAAGTCTCAAATGGGTCCGTCATAAATTCAATAAATTCTTTAGGCGATTGGGGATTAGGATTAAGGGGCGAGCCCGAAAAGTTGAAATTCTATTCGGTGAAGGGGTTAGACAAAAGAATGCCGAGCTCGACAGGTAAAGTCAAGAGGAAATGGAAAAGTAGGGAAGCAAGAGGGAAGAGAGTGGATAAAGAGTATGATGTGGTTTTGGTGCCATCTGACGGTGTTTGTCTATCAGGCTCTGAATCGGATGACTCTGACTGGTCCATTGGGTGGCTCGAGCCACACGCGCCCGATTTCCAGAGTGATGATGATGACATGGACGATAGCTTTGCTGTTTTGGTCCCTTGCTATAGGCATGACTTCAGAGGAGTCAATGAGGTGAATGAGGAGATAACGGCTAATCCATTCTCGAATGCCGTGAAGAATTTCCCAGTTGGTTATTCTGCTGGTAAGGGGATTTTTGATGAAATTGGGTGTTTTCGGATGATTTTGATATGAGTTGATTGATGAAATTTGGGTATATAAATGGAATCATGCTAATTGTTTTGAATGTGATGATGTTATCTGGTTAGAACTTTGTGTTTGGGGATGAACTGATAACTTTTCCTGTTCTTCTGGTGTTATCCTGTGAAGTATGCTATCAAGAAAAATGGCGATAACTGGTTTATGATTGGTTTATCAAGAAAAATTGGTTATCAAAGAAAAATTGGTTTATCAAGAAAAATTGGTTTATGATTGGTTTATGAAATGGTTTATCAAGAAAAATTGGTTTATGAATTGTTTTGATATGAAGTATGCTGTTGAAAGTTTATCTCCCTCTTTTTATTTGATAAATAATGATGTGTTTTTGTCAAGAGTTCAATAATGTCATGATTTGCTGTGATTTATTTTGCTCCTTCTATGTTTATCCTTTTAGCCATTTTCTTGGAGGATGTTCGGTTACTGAATTTTGCAATTTTTGTGTTTGGCAGATGGCACAAAGTACATGGAGCAGTGGCTTTCCTCTCTTCAGAAATTTTGATATTGCCATATAATTTGGCTATGCTAATTGCTACTACATATTCTTGAATCGACTATCAATTTCTAGCTTAGAATTCTTAAAGACATGAAGATATCGCATGAAGGGCTGAACTCTTTCCAACCGTGAGAAAGTTGGCAAGACGGGTTTATCGGCATTAGGCTTGTGAGGGCCATGGCTTGGCGAAAACTCTTGATGTATTATTGATTTGTTTATAGTGTAAATATATCCATTCTATGTACAAAATGTCCTTTCTTTTCAACTCTGTGATGTAAATATGTCCTATTTGGCCTTGAACATGTGAGCTGATGGTGACTAGGTGTTAAATCCTTACCTTTGCATTATAATGGTAATTTGGTGTGGTTTGTGATATAATCATGCTTGTTTTTCTTTTGTTTCAAGAGATGATCACTTTTTCTTTGTATTGACAATGTTGACTGCACAAAGGAAGATTCAGAGAGATTTTCTGATCTGAATATTTCATGGATTTTCCTTTTGTACTATTTTTCTAGCCAATTTGATATGAACAACACCTCACTGAAAAACAGATGTTCTCAAGTTTGTGCCATATATGGTTTGAAATGAATGTAATAACAAAAGGTATGATGTTCCTTTTCTTTTACAAATGATTATTAAGATGAGAATTTGATGGTGCTTTATTTCATAAGCACNTTTGTTGGCCTTTCAAGATTTTTTTTTTTTTTTTATTATTTTTCTTTCCTTGGACTAAGGTCAATTTATATTAGGAAATTGATGCTGAAATAGTTATTAGGAATTGACCCCACTGCCTAATTTCAGGTTGGCATCCAAAGTTGTGGGCTATTCAACCAATGGCCCTTTATTTTGTGGCCACGTGTTGTACTCTGCCTGGTGCTGCTCTAACCACTAGATTTTAGTATATTTATAAAATACAAGTTTTTTAAAATCTGTTTATTAGTCTTTTTATGAATACATGGATAATTCATAGTAGTTGCTAATTTTACCAAAATATTCAGGTAGGATTGATTTTGAAAAATTTTAGTAACAGTTTTTTAAAAGAAAAAGAAAATAGGAAAAAGAAAGAGAGAGAGAGAGAGAGAGAGAGAGAGAGAGAGAGAGAGGGAGAGAGGACTTAATAGGGTATCATAAGGTACTTTTAAGAGGCAACATTGAAAAACAGTACTATTTCTGGTACAAAACTTTATAAAAAAGTAGTAGAGACGTGAAAGTTTAGAAATACGGTTGATTGATTAATTATAATCGGTTGTTAAAATGAGCATGTGTGTGCTTATGCAGATGCTGATACTGATAGAACCCCACTTTGATAACATGAAGTGACTAATTAGTACCTCTTTCATTCATGGAAAAATGATTGAAGTTATCAAGTTGCAGGTGTATTTAGGATTTTTTTATTTTATTTTTCAAAAAAAAAACATATGTATGTCTCCCCTAAAAAATAAGATGAAAAGGTAAGAGCATGTTTGTTTATGGAAATTTTTATAAAAAATTCCAACATTTTAACTCAACTATTTTTTTATCTCAATTTTAACTCAACCCACTATCATCAATATTATCAATATAATTAAATAATATCAATCAATCATTCATACACACCACATCATCCTTAAATCACTGTTCATCCACTCACATTATTTTAACTAACCATCACATCAAATCATCTATCTCTTACTTTTATATCAAATTAATTTTAATTATTTTATTTTAAATATTATTTTAATATACCCATTAACAACTAACTATATCACATTTTTCAAAATTAACCAAACCAAACCAAAAAATCCAAACAAAACCAAAAATTTCTATAAACAAAGATGCTCTCAAAGATTTTAAAAATTGAAATAATTTTCACATCATGAGTAAATATAAAACAAACCAAACATAGTAATTAACTTAATACTATATAAAAATAATAAATATTGATTCATGAGGTTGGTAATTAAAATTATGAGTAAATTGTAATTTTTTTTATTGAATAATATATAGTAATTGCTACTTTTTATTTTTCAATTGTGTTAGTGGGATTGTATAGAAAAAAATGAGATGAATGAACAACATTGCGTGAAGAAGAAATGTTCATTTTCATCACCATACAAGTCTAATGATTGCCAAGTGATAAGCTTAGCACTTGGGAGTAAAAAATAATTTTTTTTTTTTTTAATGAATTGAAAAGTGGTGGCCCTTTTATCACAATTGTTTCTGTATTCCTTTGGCTCTTTGCTGACTTGAGGAAATTTGCTCAAAATTGATTTGCATTTTGACCATGATATAAGCACAAAAAAAAATAATATTGAACAATATAGTAAGCATTGGATATAATACATGCCACGTGTACTCTTAATACTAGTTTTAAATGTCCTTTCAACTCTTATTATATGGAAGCTCTCAGATTTTGGAATCTGAATAATTCCATGAAAATCTTTTCGAGATGTTGAAGACGTCAAACAATTTGGTACGTAAAGATGCCGTGCCCATTATCGGCATGCCATCTAATTTGATGAAGTAGATTAATTGCAGCTTAATTATATTTGTAAAAATAAGAGAGAATTGGATTATTATATATATATAGGTTCATCAAGTCAGCTAGGTTAATGGTGGGACATCTATGCTATGTTTGGTAAACTAGTTAATAAGTTAGTTGATAGTTTATAAGTGATTTTCAAGTTTATAAATTATAGTTTATGACTTATAGCTGAAAAACTAACTTATATAATAACAGTGTTTGATAAAATTAGATGATAAGCAAGCTGAAATAAAAATATCAATGGATTTATTTGAAAAGCTACTCAATGAAACTTATGAAATAAGCTCTAGCTTTTTGAAAAAGTTCGTCCTATCAAACGAAACTTATTTGGATACAGAAAGCTTATAAGTCAATCAAATAAACTATAAGCTAGCTTATTTGGATACCAAACATAGTCATAATCTCTTCATTTCTTATCCCTTCTTGTCTTCATTATTTACAGCCAATATCCTTCATCCAATCCCTCCCCACTAACAAAACCTAGACCGCGTTCCTCGACCAGGCTCGTCACTTGCCTAGCAGATCCTATGGGTCCTCAACATCATCGCCCCTCCTAACAACAACCCCAATTTTGAGTCTGTGCAATTGAAAAACTGAGAGTTGAAGGGGTGGCAGCGATTAAGACTAGCACGGAGGCGGCGATTGAGTGCCCAACAGCGGCGCACAACGAGGGTGAATGGTGGCGAACAGACGGACGACCGGATGTCATTTTTTTGTTTGGTGGAGTTTGGGCTATTAGGTTTTGTTTAGTTGAGGCGTATGATCAGAGTCCTAGTATTTTTAAATTAAACGAGCCTGACTCGGCTCGGCTCGTTAAGGCTCCAGTTTGGCTCGACTCGTTTGATAAACGAGCAGAGCTCGAGCTCAATTAAACTTCGTTAGGTGAACGAGCCGAGCTCGGCTCGACTCGACTCGATAAGGTTTGCTAAGGCTCGAAAAGAAAATTTTTATATAATTTTCTATAGTTCGATTCGTTCAAGCTCGAGATCGACTCGAACTCGGCTCGTTATAAGTGTTAAACGAGCCGAGCTCAAGCTTGATTTTAGGCTCGTTTATTGAACGAGCCGAGCTCGACTCGGCTCTTTAAATGCTCGAGCTCGAGCACCCTAAGCTCGAGTTCGGCTCGTTCACAGCCCTAGATCAGACAAAAACGAGGAGTTTGGTCTTTTATAGTTTTATATTTTTAAATTCTTATTTGTAATAAATTAACAGGTTAGCTCGTCTTGTCCTGACCCGCAGCCCCGTAGGTAGACGTGTTCAACTGCCGGGCCGGTTCACGACCCGGCCTGGCCTGCCGGTGAACCGGCCGACTGTTCATTAAACCGTCGGTTTAAAAAAAATAAAAAAAATAACTACGACCCGCCGGAAGACCCGGAACTAGCTCGGCCCAGTGGGTCAAAAAGCAAAAAAATAAACTCTAAACCGGCCCTTAAGGCTAAGGGTCCTGTTCAAAAACCATTATATCCGGGATGGTTCTGGGCCGGTCCGGGCAGATTCCGGGTCGGGTCATCAGGCCAATTCGACCTTTGGCCATTTTTTGTTTGGTGGAGTTTGGGCTATTAGGAAGGACTCTGTTGAATTAAACGAGCCTGACTCGGCTCGGCTCGTTAAGGTTCGAGTTCGGATCGACTCGTTTGATAAACAAACAAAGCTCAAGCTCATTTAAAGCTCGTTAGGTGAACGAGTCGAGCTCGACTGGACTCGATAAGGGTCTCAAAGGCTCGAAAAGAATTTTTTTATATAATTTTCTATAGTTCGGCTCGTTAAAGCTCGAGATCGGCTCAAACTCGACTCGTTATAAGTGTTAAACGAGCCGAGCTCGAGCTCGATTTTAGGCTCGTTAAGGGCTCGAGCTCGGCTCGGCTCGTTTACCCTAGATCAAACAAAAACGAGGAGTTTGGTCTTTTATACTTTTATATTTTTAAATTCTTATTTGTAATAATTAACAGGCTAGCTCGCCTTGTCCTGACCCACAGCCCCGTAGGTAGACATGTTCAACTGCCGAGCCGGTTCACGACCCGGCCCGGCCCGCCGACCTGTTGGGCCCAGTATCAGCCCCGCTATACCTAAGGACCGGTTCAAATGAACCGGCCCGACCCGGCTGTTCATTGAACCGCCGGTATAAAAAAAATTAAAATAATAACTACGACCCGTCGGTATTAAAAAAAAAAGTTAAAATAATAACTACGACCCGTCGGAATACCCAGAACTGGCCCGGCCTGGCGAGTAAAAAAAGAAAAAGTATCAACCTGAATCGGCCCTTTAAGGCTAAGGGTCCGCTTCAAAAACCGTTATATCCGGGCCGGTTCGACCCTTGGCTATGTATACCCGTAGGCTAGTCTGTTTAGGCCCGTTCCCGAGCGAGCCTAGGAAATCCCGCCAAACCGCCCTTTTAACCGTGCGGGACGGGCCGGCCTACAGGCTTAATTCCGTTTTGAGCTCTTGGATAGCAAATGGTAACAGGAGTTAGAGTTTATTCAACTGAGATTCTTAGAGACTTTTTAAAATTTTAAATTGAGTGATTTTAGTGGACTTTATAAAACTTTGATCATATAAAGCAACATAATCCTAACTATTAATCACCTACAGCAAAGACTTGATTAAATATATTCACGTTAGTACAATCCACACGACATTTTAGTACAATCTCNAAAAGCCCGAATTTAAATAATCCATCAGTTATCAATTGCAACCTTAAAACTAAGTTACAGATTATAAAAACTAGTACGTGGCCCGTGCGATGCACGGGAAAATAATATTTTGATTGTATTATGAATTAAATAAATAAATAACAATAATCATGATTTACGCATTATTTATAAATTAAACCGGGTTGGACACAGTCCGACCGGATGGACCGAGAACCGGTTTATAACCGATTTAGTGCTCTTGAATAAAATATTTGCTATCGAATCCGCCAACACCAGTATGTTGGACTGGTAAGATCGATACGATTTTCTAAACAAATTTTGTTAGATGAAAAATTATTTTAAATAAAATTACATATTTAAATAAAATAGAGATTTATAAATTGTTTATCAATTAGTT